GCTGGTTTGAAAGGTATCTTATTTTAATTTGCTTTTGTTTATTAGGAAGACAAAACATTTTTCACATTGCTTATCCATCTGTATTTCTTTTGTAATAGTTTATCTATTAAAACCTCTATTCTAGGTCATTCATGGAATATTCATCTTATCTTGTTTTGTCAGTATTTGGTAGGGTATTATCCTAACCCTTTGTCATACTTAAGATACAAGTATTTTTTCTTGTTTTTACATTTGTTTTTAAATTTGTGTCTGATGGCATTATAATGGCTAGAAATATTAATTTTTACATATTAAAATCTTTTCAACTGTTATTTCTTTTTCTTTTATCCATAGGTCTTCCTGGAAATAATATATACAGCCATCTATATTTGAGTCTATTATATTTATACCTTAAAAATTTAATTCTTTAATCATACTTGAACTTATTTTGGTGTTGAGAGGTAGGTGTCTAAATGTATTTTTCACTAAATAATTAATCTAGTATCTTAGTATCTCAGCATCATTTTTCAATATTCCATTCTTTCTCCACTGATCTGAAAAAACATCTTTAACAAATACTAGACAGACAAACACACACACACACACACACACACACACACACAGTATATATGTGTATATACTGTTTTACCCTGTGAGCTGTTGGTATTCTTATACCCACCTAATATTTGTTTCCACCTTTTCGGAGGGGGGCCGTTACTGGGGATTGAACTCAGGGGCACCCAACCTCTGAGCCACATCCCCAGCCAGATTTTGTATTTTATTTAGAGATAGGGTCTCATTGAGTTGCTTAGCACCTTGCTGTTGCTGAGGTTGGCTTTGAACTTGAGATCCTCCTGTCTCAGCCTTCCGAGCTGCTGGGATTATAGGTATGTGCCACTGCACCCAGCTGTTTCCAGCTTTTTGAGTAAATGCAGTGCAAGTTAGTACTCACTATTCATCTTTTTATTAATCTTAAGAACACATTTTATTTAAAATTTTTAAATGACATACAATTGTAAATATTTATAGGATACAGTATTACATTTTAATACATTTTACTATACAGTATGTAGTGATCAAATCAGAGTAATTGGCATACCAATCACCTCATGTATCATTTTTGTGTTAAGAACATCCAAAATCCTATTAGCTATCTTGAAATATTCAATTAATTGTTGTCAATTATAGCTAATCTACTATTCTATAGAACATTAGAGGTTATTCCTCCTATCCAACTGCACTCCTGTACCCATTAACCATTCTCTATCTTCCCATTCCCCACATCCTTCCTAGGCTCTGGTAGCCACTATTCTATTTCCTACTTCTATTAGATCAACTTTTTAACTTTCACATGCTGGTGAGAACACATGGTACTTGTCTCTCTGTGTCTATTTTATTTTACTTAATACAATGTCCTTTAGTTCCATCCATATTACTGCAAATGACAGAACTTCATTTTTTTTTGAATTTTTAATATTTATTTTTCAGTTTTCGGCAGACACAACATCTTTGTTTTGTATGTGGTGCTTGGGATCAAACCCAGGCCGCACACATGCCAGGCGAGCGCGCTGCCGCTTGAGCCACATCCCCAGCCCCAGAATTTCATATTTTTAAAAATAAGCTGGATAAAATTCTATTGTGTACATGGACCATATTTTCTTTATCCATTCATCAGCTGATGAACATTTCTTGGCTATTGTGAATAGTGTTGCAATGAACATTGGAGGTCATATGTCTCCTTGATATACTGATTTCATTCCCTTTGAATATATACCCCATAGTGGATTTGCTGGATCATCTAGTTGATCTATTGATAGTTGTTCAAGCAACCTCCATACTGCTTTCCATAATGGCTGTACTAATTTATATTCCCATCAATAGTATATAAGAATTCCCCTTTCTTTACATCCTTTGCCAGAATTTGTTATTGTCTTTTTATACAGCCATTCTAGCTGTGGTTTCATCATTATTCATATTTTTCTGAACTTTTTTGGTAGTCATCACCTGTATACTCTCTCTCAAAATTTAATTCTCTATTCCTTTGAGTCCCAGATGTGCTTCCTTCAACTAGATTCTGTGAGACTACCCTGTAACTTAACAGTTTATTCTTTTAACCTAGTTTGAGTAGCTTTCTGTTCCTTAAGGTTTTATCTGAGCCCTACACTCTCTCTCTACTTTGTTCTTCTATGATATTATCTAAACATCTGATATTTATCATCTTTAGGAATAAGATTCAGATTGATATTATTTAAAAGCTAACATTTATTGCTTACTGTGTTCTTGGTAGCAGTATCTTAATTCTCTTTAAAATCCTACAATATAGAAAATAGTGTTCTCATTTAGAGATGGGGAAACCTAGGCTTAGATAGGTTAAATAACTTGTCTAATGTCACAAAACACTGCAATATTTGAGAGAGCCAAGATTCAAATTCTGTTTTGACATACCCACCATTTTTGGAATTGAAAATGACACAAGAATCAGTTATACTAAAAGAAGGCTTAAAGGCATTGGCTGGACTGCTTGGATGATATATGATCAGTTATTAGTTAATTGATCAGTAATTAATTATTGATAGTAGATGATATCCACGTACAACACTCTCCACAGTTCCTGGTACATAGCAATTCCAAAATGCACATTTTTTTCACATTTTTAACATCTTTGAAATCAGTAGGCCTTCCATGACTATAGTTTAATTGGCAGTATTAATCTTACAATTGATGGAATTTTAGATTTGATGAAATAAGGCATTAAGTGCTTAATAAATGTCTAGTTTTTAAATGAGATGATGAGTTATTCATTCAGAAAATATTTGTCCTATGAACTATGTGCCAAGCACTGTTCTAGGAACTGGGACAGAGAAGTAAATAAAGAAACAACTCCTACTCATGAAGTTTACCTTTTAGTGGGAAATGTGAAAAACATGATTAACAATGTCAGATAGTGATAAATGAAAAGGGATAAGGTGAATGGAAAGTAGCTGGGAGTGCTATCCTAAACAGGGTGGTCATGGAATATTCATTCGACAAGAAACTTGGCTGGGGTGAAAGGAGTGAAAGGGAGAGACATGAAGAGAGCTGGAGGAAGACCTTTCCAGGTGCAAGGCACAGCAAGTATAAGGGCCTTGACATGAGAGCACCCTTAGAGTCTTTCAAGAGTGGCAAGGGGGCTAGTATGGCTGAAGTGCAGAGTACAAGAAAGTAGTAGGCAAAGTAAGGTGGGGGTAAAGACTATGAAGGGAGAATTTGAAATATGCAGGTAAGGACTTTTGGGGCAGGGGGCGGGGCTATTGAGGATTGAACTCAGGGGCACTTGACCACTGAGCCACATCCTCAGCCCTATTTTGTATTTTGTTTAGAGACAGGGTCTCACTGAGTTGCTTAGCACCTCACTTTTGCTGAGGCTGGCTTTGAACTCCCGATTCTCCTGCCTCAGTCTCCAGAGTTGCTGGGATTACAGGTGTGGGCCACCATGCCTGGCAGGTCTTTTTTTTTTTATCTCTTTTTAAATGTGGTGCTAAGGATTGAACCCAGTGCCTCCCTCATGCTAAGCAAGTGCTCTACCACTAAACCACAACCCTAGCCCAGGTAAAAAATTTTTTGAAACCCTTTCAAAAAGGCTCTAGATTTGAGTAGAAACTGTGTATTGGGGTTCATAACTACCTAGTAGGGGCTGCTGAGTGTCATGTCTACACTGCACTTGAAGCCAAGGGATGACTGGGAGCAAAGGTAGAGATGGCATTAATTTAAGGAATGTGAGGAGAGACAGTTCCATTTAGTCTCTTAAACACACTAATGCACAGTCAGAATGATTCATGGTGCAGAAGAGTTTGAGGGCAGAATGATAATGATACGTGATCAGAATAACAAGCTGAGGCTACTCTGAAAAAAGTGACACTCAGGGTTCAACACTATTGACGAGGTACAGTTCAAACTGGCCTTGGTTTCAATTTTTCAAGTCATGCTGCCACAACATCCGCCTGCCCTTCAAGTGGGTTGAACAAAATTCAAATTATTTTAAGAATATTGAAAACATTTATAAAGTGACTACATATTTCTATAACTGTTTTAATGTAAGGCATATGCTTTTATAAATCTACTGTTTCCTAGAAAGGCAAGATGTATAGTGGTTAAGAGCATGGTCTTTGGAGGCAGACCAAGCTGGTTCAAATGTCACTTTTGCTACTTCTGTCACTTTAGTTAAGTAACCAATTCAAGCCTCAGTTATCTCATCTGTAAATTGGGAATACCACTTGACCTCAGAGAGTTGCTGTGATTATTAAATAATGTGTGTGAAGTACATAGCACTGGGACCACTCAATAAAACTATAGCTGCTTTCTCCTAAAAATACATTGTATATCAAAATTTGTTACTCATTGTACATACATCTTGAAAGAAAGCAACCCAAATTCATAGTGCCATCAAAATACAGACAATAAAAGCAAAGGGAAAGAAAAACATTTCCTTGGAGTTCTAAAGGCAATACTTGCATTCAGAAAGTAGACATATTTAACTTAAAGATGAACTTTCAAATTGACTTTTTAAGATACATGGTAACTCTCACAAGAAACATACACAGAACCACTCTTCTTGCAAGCAGTAATCTTAAAGAGAGGCACAGAGCTGTGAACTTATTCAATGAAGGAGCTATGACAAGAAAAACAGTTTCTATTGAGACCCCTGTCACTAGTCCCACAAATGCAAGAGTACAGGTCATCAATGCAGATAGACAATTGCTAAAAGTATATTTATCATGAAACTCATATAATCATTAGACTTCCACATTTTGTTTTTAACGTTTTCTTGGAAATTTCATGACCATGTAGGCCCCCATATTTGAAATGTCTGTATAAGAGGTTCTACTGCCTTCCTAATGATGGGACTTAGTAAGCTGCAGACCTATGAGATCATGATTCCGACTGACAATTCAAGAGAATAGATTTTTAAGGAACTTAGATTATACAAATCAATTTATGCTCTTAAACCTGAGCATAAGGAATTAAAATGGAGTTAGCCATAATAACACGGAATGCATGATCTTTATTATTTTAAATATATCAATCTAAAATCACACTATCAGATCAAACAAGAGTACCACAATATGCTTTATTTTTCAGGTATTAATGAGTTCTCTAAATTTCTATGTACAAAACTTTAAGTAGCAGCAAACATCAGTTCTCCCAAAGAAGCTTAGGTGAAAAACAATTTATTCTATCCATGAGTTTAAAGCCCTGCTGTTTGATCCACTGTTGTACTAATAAAAAAATGAACTCAGTGAGAAAAGCTAATTGAGTGCTCAGTTCATATATTTTGAGACTCCTATATTTTATTGGAGTTGAAGCAATGAACCCTTGGTAAATATTTTAGGTTTTTTTTTTTTTTGTGTGTGTGTGTGTGTTTGGTGCTGGGAATTGATTGAATTCAGGGCCTTGTGCATATGAGGCAAGCACTCTACCAGCTGAGCTATATCCCCAGCCCCAATATTCTGTATTTTAATTATCAAGGAATTAAACATGTTTGCTAATTATCTCAGAAAAAGCCATGATACCTAATGAAGAATCAGTGATACTAGTCTCCTACTAAAAAATAGAAAACTTTGAAATGAATTCATAATTTGAACATATCTGAATATACCATTCAAAGAATTAGCAAGGGTAATGAATATGGCTTTTAGAAAATCATCTCAAAAATATCTACTGAAATGAAGCCACTGTTCTTTATGGTACCATATTAACCAAATGCCCTTTACCAAATAACAAATAAGCAATAAGCAGATGTTTTCAAAGGAGAACATTTTTAAAAGAAAGCATTCTTATATGCCATAGCAAACAGAGAACTTGCATCTGCAAAGCAGAGCTACAGAATTTGAAAGGAGTTGTAATTGAGCAACTTTCTACTCCAGTCTGGAGTAAATGTGTGAATAGATAAGACCATAAGGAAGGATGTTGATTAACTTTTTCTTTGTAAGAAAAATGTGTAATTCCAGTTATTGGCAGAGTTTTGACATCGGCAGCAATACAGTGGTGAGCATCTACATTGTGCTGAGAGGTAGACTGGAACTTAATCCTTGGATTTAATAACAAACTAGCTTTAAGGTTTAAACTCAATTTGTTTAGGCTTAACCTTAATTTTGAAAATTTCTGAAGTGAAGGCAGATCTTGAAGTTTTGCTTTTAGTTCACTGTAGAGATAAAAGAGGTTGGTAAAATAAACATCTGCCTTATGCTGAGGACAGGTGTGTAAAGCTGCCATTTGGGTCCTGCACAACCACAGCACTGTGCTTCTGAATAAAAGGGCAACTCAGCAGCTGAACCAATCAAACAGACACAGGGATGAGTGGTCTCTAGTATTTTACTCCAGATGCCAGAGCCATTAGAGTTCCCTACAGGGATATAAGTCTTTATCAGGATCAACAAATTTACAGAACAAATCCCAGTCCAGCTTTGGCTAGGCGGCCAATTGACTGATTATATGTCAGGGCCCCACTAGCCTCTAGAATTAGCACTTGCTGCTGTGAGAAAAAAAAGGAATCAATGTGTTAAAAATATCAATTTGAACTTATTCATACAGGGAATAGAAAAGTACAGGAGGCACATGATAAAAGTATACAGGCGGCTTTTTTTTTAAGTGCAGGATGAATTAACTTTCTGAACAAGTTAAGGCTCTGAGGGGAAAAAATTCTAAATCATAACCTTAAAAAAATAGTCTGTTCTAAATTAACACCTTACAAAAGCTGAAATTCTTACTTCATCCTTCAGCATAAATGTCAAATCTGAAATCATCAATATATTTCAAACTCCAGAAGGGAAGGAAAAAAAGACATTCTTGTTAAAATATAGTAGCCACTAATGGTAATAGAGAAAACCACCAGATTTTTGCTATTAAATACATTATTGCAGTACTGGGGATTAAACCCATGGTCTCATTCATGCTAGGCAAGTATTCTATCTCTGAGCTACACTACCAGCCTTCTTTTAAAACTACAAGAAAAACACAGATTTTAATAATCCTCATTAGAAAATTGGGAAAGGAAGTCTTATTGTGAACCAAATTTTATGTTTGTCACCAGTGAAAATGAATTCATTATGTTCTTGAATTTATTTCCGGAAGCACATTAAATTCTCTTACAGCTTTGATTTTGCAAATAACATCAAAGTAGCAAAATACAAGTAACTGCAACATATAAAATTATACTTCAGTAGAAATGCTTTCATAATTGGATCCAGAGGCTTAAAATAATTATTTACTTTAAAAAGACATATTCTGAGCCATAATTTTTCTTTCAGTTACATTTTAACAAAAGAGGAGGAAAAAAAATAGAAACAATGGTCCTAATACATTTTTTTTCTTAAATAAGTGCTACTCATGCCCAAATTAGCTGGCAACTCACTGAGGTTAGTCCGAGATAGATCTTAATCAATCTACTATAAAGCATTTCCTGGCTTTTAGCCAATGGAAACATAACTTTCGATTGCAAAAAGAAAAAAAAAAAAAAGCATGAGATCTCAGTGACTATACAGACTGATAACCAGTGCGACTTTTTCTTCTTCCAATCATATAAGAGATAAATACAACAATTATAAGGAAGCCAAGGGCCACACCCACTGCAACAGGAATAAGAAAGTTGAGGTCAGAGTCAGCAGAACATTCTTCAGCTGTTAGAAAAGAACAGACAGCAAGGAGAGGAAATTAGTAAAGAATGTAATTAAGCAAAACAAGCAAACAAGAAATAAGCATTCTGATAATAGGTTAGTCTTTTATAGCATTATCCTTATTTCTTAAGATCAATCCAAATATTTCATAGCAACTGATCACCCTATATCTCTTATTATAATCATCTAAAATCACACCAAATTCTTCAATACAAAAAAGCAGAAGTTAAAGGAAAAATGGGAAAAGGTCCAAAATACAGAATTATGCTTGCCCTATATAAGAAGATTTTAGGTTTAATTGTCTAATGGCACTAGGGGAAAGAGTAATCATCTACACTTAAAAAAAGAGACCACCAGGAAGGCAGTGGGTAAAATTTGAATTTCAATCTCTGAATTTAGGCAGAAGTGAATTTGAATCCAGACTCCTTCAAGTACCAGCTGAAGGACTTTGCCAATTTATTTAAACTAGGCCTCACTTTCCTCACCTATAAAAGGAAAATAGTAATTGTGGTATTATAAGATATTTAAGGATTCATTCTAATTGTATTATCTGATATACTTCATGCAGTCAACAAGTGTTCATTCCTTTCTCTTTTCTTCTCATGTTTGTGATCCCATCCAAAGAAGTTTAGGGTTTGAAGTAATAACAAGCAGAGATCATAATAGGAGTGTCTCAGTACAGTACTATTGAAAAGGCCAATATTCAATGCTTTAAAAATACTTAATCAAAATGATATAGCAGCAGCTCAAAGTGCCCAACTGTGATCTCATTATTTCAAGTTTAAACCAGCAGTTGTTACACTATTGAATAATTATATTTCATTGGGGCAGTTTTTATCAAAATGCAATGGTTTTGTTGCCTGCTAGATATGTAACCTCAGTGAAATCACTCCCCTTTCAGAAAATTATGTTGTTAGAGTAAATAATCTTTAAGATACTTTCCAGCATAATTCTAAGGCAATTAACAAAATGTGATATTTGGTGTGATTTATTATTGTGCAATAACTTGCATTTTTCCTCTAATTTTCACTTTACCTCCTCTTACAGTTTTGCCATTCATAAAAAGAAGTTTGGAAAGGTTTGGAAAACATAAGATGAATTTCAGTAATCACATTAGCCTTTATTGAAAAGATTTACTGTATTTTACTGCAAGCCCTCAGTTGGGGATTGAAAGCTGGGTACCAAGATACACTGTATTGTTAATCAGTAAGTTATAGAAACTCTGAATAAGCTGATATATATATATTCAAACTTTCACTTCAATATGAAAACTTCTCATCTATTAAGCTTCCTTCTTAGTTATCTATACATTCAATATCTGTGTCCCACTTACACCATAAATGTTTCAATAAGGGCTGATTATTTACCTCATTTTAATGCCAACAGCCTCTCTATACCCTCATCTATGTTCTGCCCCATGGGGGCTGTCTTGAAGAAGCAAGAGCCTAGTTGCTATGCTTCACTGCCTCCCTTCTGAGATTGCTGTTAGCTTACATTTCATAAGTACCAGTCTGATGACAACACTAAATAGATTTTAATGCTCTAGAGATCAACAAGATGAGGTAGAAAAACACAACACAATCTGTCCTAATTAGTTCATAGAATATTTCTATCTTTCAATGCTAATCAGGCATCCAAAAAGGAGCAAAATACAAGGAATAAAAGGCAAGTAGTTAAATATACTTGAATGTTTTCAGTCTATATTGCTGAAAAATAAGTATTAAAAAAAACTCTTAATTCTGGAGCCAGGTTAAGTTCTGTGTTAGCCTCTTGGGTCTGTTTTTTACCTAGGGGGGAAAAATCACAAACCTGAGATACTGATTTCATTTTTTTTTAAATTTTGAGACAGGGTCTCTCTAATTTACTGAGGCTGACCTTGCAATTCCCTTGCCTCAGTCTCCCAAGCTGCTGGAATTACAGGTGTACACTACCACCCAGCACTGATTTAATTCTTTACTGGAACTAAAAAAAAAAAATCAGTAAAAGTCACATAACCTTAAAAATGTGGATGGCCCTAAGGACAGTGTTTGCTTCATTCCACTGAAAATCGAGTTCAAGCATACATGATAGGCATTTATGCCACATCAATATTTACTTAATGAACTATATGCAAAGGCACAGTGATGAGTTTAAATCAGGATAGTTCTTATACATTGAAACAGAACACCAGTAGTGAAACAATATTTATTAATTCCACTAAAACACACTACATATTTTGTTTTTATAATGGCCATGTTAATAAGTTTCAGGCATCTTAGGTTAGGATCAAAATTTGTCCTCAGAACCAGTAAATAAAACATTTTTTTTAATTTTAAGCTAATCAGAGAGATAGCAGTTTTATTAATAAAGACTGATCTTAAAATACTGGGAATGATTTAGGAATTAAGGTTTCAATATATCATTTTTAAGAAGAAAATTGTTTCATATACCAAGAGGCAACAAATCCTTATTATTTGCATGTATTTTTATATAATCAATCAGATTGCAGGTTCTAAAATTGCTCATATCCAGCATGATGACGCTTGAGACCAATAAAATAAGCCAGCAACACTAGAATAAGTACTCCTGCCAAGGCTGCTCCCACCGCTATGGGCACAAGGAAGTTGTCGTCATCTGCACTGCAGTCTTGAGCTAGATGTGGAGAAAGGACAATTGAGAACAGAAACAATGACAAAATTTCAAATCTGTCCATTTTAAGTTAAAATGACAGTACTTCCCAGCACACACATTTTGTTTTTCACATTAAGATAACAAGTCACTGGCATTATATTATTAGCAAATGAGATGTTCCACAGAAGTGACTTCCCAAATAACCAAACCATACACTTTTACATAACAAAAAAATGTAGTCATTTTGGGTGAAATGTATACAAAATGATCACATTTTTCTCAGATTTCTTAAACAGAAGATAGTGAATAAATATAATTAACCTTTCCTTGATGATAAGGCTATGAGCTTCAGAGACAAAATGTTATGATGTTAAAGAAGCACAGTGCTTGGAATACTGTACATTATTAAGTATTAACTAATGACAACTATATAAAAGAGACACAGAACTCAATGCATGGAAATCTGGAGTCATTAAATAAGGAGGAAAGATAAAAACTGGCCCTAGTGGCATACTTGTTGGCTTCAAGAAGCTCAGTCTAGTGTGAGATTCAGACAAGGAAGTAAGTGGTTATAATTTCAAAATATGCTGTGGTTGAGGCAAGAAATACACAAAGTTTCAATGGAAGTGTTTCAGAGGCACACTCAATTCAGCCTTGTTACACAAGACACATTTTTTAAAAGGTAACAATTGAGCTGAGTTTTTAAGGATGAAAATGAATTACCCATACAGGTAATGAGATAAAGATATAAAGATATTCCAGGCATAAGAATCAGCACAGACAAAAATATGGAGGACAAGAACACTTGGCACTTCAGGTGCAACAAGCAAGCTGACATAGCTAGAACAATGGATCAACTGGACAGGAGGCAGAAAAATGTATCAGTACCAACTTATAAGATCACTGTATACTCCTAGATAGTTTGGCCTTATCCTCATAGAAAAAAAAATATCAGCATCAAGATTTTAAGCAGGATATTTTTGTTTCAGAAGGTATGGCAGAAGGAAGCCTAAAGGTAGTTAAGTTAGGCGGCACCTCTATTACTAGAGTCTAAGTGACCAATATTATGTCCCTGAACTAGATTAATGAAGTGAAGATGCAGAAAGGACAGACTGGAGATTCAATTAGAAGGCAGAATTGACCAAATGGTTGTAGAGGGTGTAGGAGGAGGTGCTAATAGGATAGTTTCCAATTCCACACTTAAGTGATTATGTTCATGCTGGTGCCATTCATCATGGTAATAATTCAAGAACATATGCCTTTCAGTATTGTTATATTTGTAGTTATTTGATGGGGGAGGGTTGGGAGAGGATAAGCTAGAGAGTCGCTCCATTTTGGATTTATGCCTGTGTTCAAACCAAGTGGTTATATGACAAGTGGTAGTTAAAACCATGTACAACAAAATTTCTCAGTGAGAGCATGTCAAATAAAGAGGTCCAGAGACAAAACCCTTGGGAACAGTTATATTTGAGAGATAGACCAGAGTAGGAAAAAGAAGTAGAAAAGACAGGTAGAAAATAGTGCCACTGAAGTAAAGTAAAGGGAGAGTTTCAATTAGCATAGGAGAATAGCAAAGTCTTAAGAGAAGTCTGAAAAATGTCCATTGAATCTAGGAATATAGACAGTTGAAGGGTATGAGTCAAATTGCCAAAGATTTACAAGTAAACGGGAAGTGATTGATTAGGAAATCGAGAACATGGGATAAGGAACATATGCTCATTTCAAGGAGTTTAAAATGATTTAAGAAAAGAGAAGCAATATAGAGGTAGTTAGAAGGGGGACACAAAGACAAGAAAAGATGGCGGGTGAGTGGAAGAGACTTACATGTTTCTAGGATGAGACAAATGTTTAAAGAGCTATTAGCAAATGATAGGTTGAAGATGCTGACTGGTATAAGGTCTCCTAGGAGGCAGGAGGAATGGTATTTCAGAAGTACTAATCAAGAAAACCTACAGTGACACTAGAGAGAGGAAGGAATAGTACAAATGGACACACACTTGGAAAGGGAAGAAGAGAGCTCACATGGTAAACTGCCACTTCTATTTCCCATTTCCTTGCCTCTTACTGCCCTAGTTCTCTTCCTACCTTGCAATCTACCAGGGATTGATAAATCAGGCAATTAAGTTTATTTGAATTGGGTCAAAAATAAGAATGAATAGGCTGAAGGCAATTCTGAGTTTGCCTGTATTCAAGAAATGTGCCAGGCTTTTTTTTCTTTTTCTTTTCCTGTAACCCTCTGGGACAGTAACTGGGAACAAGATGCAATCTCGGAGTTTATGGACTTTTTGACATTGACTTTGGCTGCCAGCTCAATGATGTTTTTTAACTTGGTTCTGTTAAGAATACAGATAGCTGAGGTTGCTAGATGTGAGCTGTGAATAGATGATGTTAAG